TGCACGCGCCCCGACTTGAGGGAAGTGCTGTCAAGTAGAGGTTGGAGGCAAGAGAAGTTTATAAACACTGTGTAAAAAAGACAATGATTTTCTTGGATTAAAACAGTAGCTAACCGTGAGGCACACTGGCTGAGAGCTGATTGGCTGAGTGAGGGCGGTCCTCTCGTTTTCACTTTTCTGTCGGAAAGAAATTATTTAAAAATGAGAAAAAAAAACAAATTACATTCATGTGTAGCCTGGTTGTACCACACCATAGTACAAATTACATCTCGTACTAAGGTCTGGAGGTGCTCCATTGAGCTCCGTGAACAGGTGGGAGGGGTTAACTCCTTTTGCAGATTGAAGCGGTCTGAGTTTACCGACACGTATGTAGGGCCCGTGTGAGTCGTTAGCATTTAGCATTTAGCCTAGCCATCTTTTTTTCCGCTAATGGAGCCCGTGGGGAGTAGAGCCACAATCTTTGCTGGTAATTACATATGCTAAATATTCCTCTTGCTCCGGCTTCAATTTCTTTATAGAACCAGACCAGAATACTTTTCAAACGCATTTTTCGCCATTGCCAAACTACAACCTGTCCGTTCGACGCAAACTCTTTATGTCACCCACAACTAACTACAACACCCGCCTCCGGCACGGTGGCCTCAGCCTCACAGGGACCAGACCCAGACGTTACATGCAGGAAATGATGATTGAGCGGAGTGAACGGATGGCTAAGGCCAGGCTAATGTATGTGTAATCTAGGGATAGAACCAAGTGATTTGGAGCAGGGGACGAGTTAAATGGATTATTTGTGAAAAAGTTCAGTGTGAGTCAATAGGAGCCAGAGCGAGTTAGAGATACACTTTATCCCTGAGTACTTCACTATTGGGCTTCATTGAGCTAGGTTGGTTAGCATCGGCATTACACCTTGCCAGGGCACATTTACAGTAATGTGGATTCAGTGTATTCTCCCTATCCAAATAAACTGATACAATAAAAGTAAAAATAATGGAAAAAGTAAATCAATATACAGTCTATGTTCAAAATGCATTCCAGTGAAAGAATGGGATGTGAGGAAATGCTTTAAAAAGAAGAATTAAATGTTTTGCCAAATTTAAGTCAATTGGGATTAGCACCTTGATTAGCATCCCACGTCATCCCCGACAGCAAGAACCTCACGTCATTGTGAATTTGCACAATCGCTCCCCACATTCCGGAGTCTGGAGTTGCAAATCCGTCCCCCCCACAGCCCCCCCCCCACCTCCCCCGCCCCGTCCCGCTCCGCTCCATATATTCATGAATTTCCTGTTTATCATGAAAAGTTATGCATGGAAATAGAGGGTGGGAAGACAGAGGAAACACAACAAAAACAAGGGTCGAAAACAAACACGCCGCATGTTGATGGCTCCTCTCTCTGCGCCGCGCGTGTCGGGTGCTAGCGTTAGCGCCTTAGCTCGCGCTCTGGCAGTTCCCTGAAACTCCCGCGGGACGGAGGCAGCCAGACCCCGGGTTCAATTCAACTCTTTCTTTGGCGTTCTCTGCCTTTTATGCCTGTCTTTTCCCGCCGCCCACCTTTCCTTTCCCTGTATCTGCGCTAACACCACCCCCCCCTTCCCCATCCGCCCGCTCCCATCTTCACAGTGTCAAAGCCAGTTACAGGCAGAGGAGCTAGCCCTTCTAAATAATTCACAAGTTGATTAATAGACTCACAAGGGTATAATTAGGCGGGGGAGAGACAGTGGCTAGTGTAACCAGTGCAGTGCTTAGGGGAATTACAGCGCCGGGTTATTGAGGAAATGGAGAGTACCAGTGAAAAAGAGCCAAATATAAAAAATCAAGTGTTGTAGGCTGCAGAGGAGGTGGGAGTGTGCTCTGTTCTCTCACACAGCAGAGAAGCTCTTCTCCTGGAGCAGCAGCCTGGGGTTTGTTTGATGTGGAAATTGGCCAGTTTGAATCCGTCTCCTTTAATTTTTCACAACTTACAGCCCCCCCTGGGCGCTGCACGCTCTCTTATAGGATATAAATGAGTTTTCTGTGTCCTCTCACACCCTTCAATTCCTCTTGTCTTTTTTTCTTTTACATATTACCCGGGTTATTTTCTACATTTCATTTGAGCGCCGTATCTTTGAGCGAGCTTGCCGTTTCACCCCCGATGTTTGTCAAACAGCCAGTCATCAGCATAAAACTTCACTTATGTTGCCTCTAAGGCGTCTTTTGTATTCTGCAAAGGATGCGCCTGCCGCTGCCAGACCGCGCTTCAAAACACCAAACAAAACAACAATAGAACAACACCTGTGTTCTGACTTGAGCGCTGGAGTTTTTCGGCAGCTGATCTACGTCTGTGCCGCCGCTGCCGCTGTTAAAATAAAATGAAAAGAGGCAATGGAAAGGCGGCTCGACAGGTACAGCGTCTCTGCGTAGGGTTCTGAGGGCCGGGAGTCGTCAGAGTGTTATTGAGAGCGCTCCGAGCTGTTATTGCGGGCTGTGTATCTAAGCGCGGCGACCATATTGGAACAGACATGTCCGAGGCGTGTGTGATGAGAGCGCGTCAGCTCTAATTCGGCGCCTCTGTTCTCCCGTCTGTCGCCTGCAGATGTTGCTCCGGTGTCAAACTCACAAAAGTCCCGAGAACAAGTGTGTGGTGTTTGTCAGGGCCCATCACTGTCAGGCTCGCTCTGCTTTTACGGCAGGTGGACACAGAAATCTAGCCTGAAACCTGGACTTGTTATCTTTCAGAACAGTGCAGAGGCTCGAAGAGAAGACGACCAAATATGTGGCTGAGTCTGAGCTGATGCCAAAATAGTTAAGGCAAAGTTCACTTCAGGAATTGTGAAAAGTTTGTGTGAAAAACTGTGATTGTTGATTGACATTAAAGTAGCAATATGTAAGATTTTCATGTCAAGTCATTAAATGGCTCTAAACTGTCAAAAGGCATCATGCTTATTTGAATATTTCTTTAACTGATAACAGTAGTTCAGTCGAGATATTTGTATTTCAAATTATTTTTACAGTGCCTGAATCTTGTTATTGTTTTAATTTTGATGTCCCGCTCTCCACTGTTTTACAAATCAGAAAGTCTCTGATCCAAGTTGCCAGAACGAGCTAATCTCAGTGCTAAAGTAACATGTGGTCGTGTTCCTAAAAAAGGTCTCGTTACGATTCTCAAATCATTAATGACAAAACACGAAAGGAAACGAGGATCTTTGTGGAAAAGGTGTTGGTTATAGCTTTGTTGTTGACAAAACTCTTTTCTATTCCGTTATTATTATTATTATCATGGTCCCAGCAAGATTCGTCTGCATATCTGGCAACCTGAGTCAGGGAGAGTGGAAGAGGTTGCAGAACCACTTTTGACCAGATTTTTACACACTGCTCCTTTAAGTTTTGTTTCGTATACATCGAGACTTCTCACAGCAGCAAGTTTCATCATGAAGTGTATGATATAGACTGGTAAAATGACTATCCTTGTTTGGTATGGGAACTTTTCAGTCAGAAACAGGCCAATACAACATTTTTTGGATATTGTTTGGCAACGATTGAAGCGGTTGCCCAGTTTATGTCATGTGGCAAAAAGAACAGAACCCAAAATGCAGAACTGTAAAAAATACTACATTTAATAATCCAAAATCTAGGGTAGACAACACAAAGTAACAAAACAGGGATGACAAGAAATGAAAAAGACATGGCATTGACAATGATAGAACAAGGGTTTAAGGAGACACAGGTGAGACACATGAGGGCGGGGCAGGGAATCAGGAAACAGGAAGTGGAGCAAAGGAAGACACAGGGCTAACAAGTTACAAAATAAAACAGGAAAATAAACCTAAACCATGACAGTTTATATCCTACTAGCAAACACTGGAGAAAATATCAAAGGTAAACAGTTAATCGTGTCTTCTTACTGTTTAAGGCTTGGAAGGTTCTGTTGATAAGACAAAGAAGCTGGTACTGATCAATTACCAAATGCGTTTGGACGGTAGACTCCCACCTTCGACAGACCGGGTAAAAATAAACACAAAATATCAAGAACAAGCGAGAGAAAGACAATGAACAAACGACAAATGGGGAAAAGCACTGGGATTTAATACTACTGGACAGGAAGTAAAACTGAAATTGGATAAGACAACAAAAAAGTTCGATCACAAAGTTTAAAATATCCACACCATGACAGCTACACTTGTTTTATCCATACGGGTAAAGAATTGTTTGAGTCTCTACGGGACAAATGAAACACATAGAAGTCAAGGGCCCCGTTTCCACCGCAGGAACTCTGGGGTAATTTTCCAGGGCCAGCCCCATCGGTGGCTGACCCTGGAAACTGCAGGAACTTCCTCCACAGGGCCATTTACAGGAACTTCCTCCATGGTATGTACTCCGTTGGGCCCTGAACAGCTCCTGGTGGGGCTTGAGGTTAACCCGGCACCCTCTCCTTTTACCAGGAACTCCTTGTTTATTTATTATGTGTTTATTTGATAGGGACAGAACAAGAAGCATTGTTACAGGAACCGATTCCCTGAATTTCCAGGACCATTACTGAAATTTCACCCTAACAACCTGACAACCCAAACGAGGCCCTCGTTCTGCCTTCTGTACGAATCACCTGCTTGAGAACTGTCATTAAGAAAAACTCAGCTGTAGACTGGGCTCGCTCTCTCTGATCTCCCTCTGGGCTCTCTCTCTGGTCCTTCTTGTTGGTCTCTCTCTAGTCCCTCTCTGATCTCTTCCTGGTCTCTCTCTCTGGTCCCTCTCTATCCGGTCTCTCCCTGGTCTCTAACTGATCCCTCTATCTGGCCTCTCACCCTGGTCTCTCTCCCTCATCTCTTTCTCTCTGGTCTCTCTCTCGTTGGTTTTTCTCTCTTGCTCAGAAAAGCTCAAACTTCATTAGAGGACAATTCAAAGTTAAAACATCACACCATCACTGCCCCTTTAAACAAAACACTGTAAACATTTACCACTCTCTTCTTTGTTGTACAGTGACTGACCTCCCATTGACACCCCCCTCCCTCCCTGTTCTCCACTAATCACTTCCAATATCCACCCCACCAGCAGGAGGCGCCGTCCCGACCCCCCTCCTCTTTAATCCACACACGCGTTAATTTATTTATCGGCGCGTGGATTAAAGGCCGCACACCTGATGAAGGGGGTGTCAGAGGGGCTTTGACAGGCACAGAAGCAGCGTTTGTTTCCTCCGCCGAAGCGCGCGCCTTGCGTTTGAAGTGTCTGACAGACGAGAGACCGCGAACACCGCCTTCATCTCGGCTTCCCCCACACGACTGCCGCGCACCGTCCCGCCTCGCGAGCGCACCCCGTGTTTGCCTCATATCCCGCTAATGACACAAGCCATTCGTCGTGATTTCTCTTCTTTTTTTTTTTTTTTGCATTACATCCACCGAGCGTTGATGCGCACTTCAATAAAACACACACACACCCTGTATTTTTTCCTCGCCGCGGCTTTTGACGGGACGTGCGTTTGTTTGATTGCCTCGATTGTTGTTTTCTTTCCCGGATACAAAAAGAGCCCGCGTCGTGTGATATGTATCGGCGAGAGCAGGATCAATAGAGGGAGGGATGGTGCGTTTAGGCGCCGTCAGTGGGTTCGCCGTGACCTCGCCGACCGCGCCGCACACCGTTATTGAGGCTTTGTTTCCGTACATGAAGAGCAGACAGGCGCGTAATGAATGTGGGATGTGCAACAAAAGGTCTGATTATCAACATAAATGGTGAAGGGAGCAGAGGATTCTGACATGAGCAGTGCGTTCTGTCGTTGGAACGGTGGAAGAAGTAGTTTGTGCGCGACTTTCAGACTAATGCACGACGAATGAGTTATGCTAGTTTGGGTTTGCACACGGCACGAGGCCAGATGAGATGTATACTACACTAGGTAATATGTATATACAAACAGAAGTAATAGTACATGAAACCAATAACATATTTCAAAAACTCAAAATGGTAAAACAACTTTGTCAAAGATGGGTCACCTCACTTTTACCCTTCATAAATACTACAAGAAAGACAAACTAGACCACAACATGCCGTCTTCATTGTAGTAGAAAAGGGAAGAGCCCTGTGAGTCACTATTTGACGCTTTGGGCTGAGAGCTGATTGGCTGAGTGAGGGTGGTCCTCTCATTTTCACACTTCTGACTGAAAAAGTTGATGTAAAGACATCACTGAGGCCAAAAATGCATTCATGAGACAAATGGTGACAGAACCAAACCATTTAAGCACCACCTTAAGGTGAAAGCCAGATCCCATCACACCTCTGTAGCTAAGCAGGGCAGGGCCTGGTAAGTAATGTGATGGGAGACATGTGGGAGCACCAGTTGCCACAAGACACTTCACCCACATTGCCTAGAATGAGTGTGGTGTGTGTGTGAATGGTTGGTGGTGGTGGGAGGGGCCAATGGCACAGAGTGGTTGCCACATTTCTGTCTGTGTGTCCCAGGGCAGCATCACTGTGTATGGGGTAAAAGAATAATCACAGAAAAATGAGCCGTCTTTGAGTGTCCAAAAAAAGCGTTGTATAAAACTGATGCATTATTAATTATTGTGAATCTAAATGTATGTTTTAAATTGGCAATAGTTAGACTTGCATTTTTACATAATATTGCAGTCAATCGTTATCGTTCATTGTATGCAGATGAAGTGTCTGACACGTCCCCACTGGGCACCACCCCGAGGGCAGCAGCTGGTCACGCTGGAGGCTCCGGTCCTGGTCTGGGAATAATATAGAAGTGTCCGGGAGAGACAAGACTAATGCTACACAAAGAGTGAACAAGCTAATAATTTGAGAAACGTTTTCAGTTAACACAGAGTCAGCTCAGTGCATGTTTGCGTCCACATGAATGACGTCAATATGCCTGAAAACGCTGTGAAACTATGCCAGGCCTGTTGGTGGCGCAATAGGATCCAGGGCAGGCTTCCACAGATGGATTTATAGAGTTTGCTAACCTGCGCAGAAATGTGTAAACAGACAAAAGGTGAATTTGGTGAACTCTCAGCGGTCTATCTCTGGTTGCTCTTTCTGATCTCTCTCTGGTCTCTCCTTAGTCTCTCTCTCGGGTCCCTGGCAAGTCACCGCTCTATAGAACCCAAAACGTCAGCTTTGAAAGACTGATACACTGAAGTATTTTTGTGTTTAGACCTGAATTTGACTCTGTGTGCACAGGGCCTAAACAGCTGCAGTTATGGTATACAGTATGTAGTGTTTATTCTTGTGTGGAGTTTGCATGATTTTCTCCCGTTGTGTCTGAGTGGGTTTCCACACAGACACACAAATACACGTACACACACACACACGATCCATCCAGCTTCATTTGCTTATTGTAATCGTGTGTGTACCGGATCAATAACTTATTCCGCCTGTTGACTTTTTATTTCATACATGCTGATAAGGCTCCCACAGCGGCAGAGTGATTCGGAGGCAGAAGAGAGAGAAAGGGGAGAGGGTTGCCAGATGTTCAGACCGACATGTTGAAGAAAGTAATATTAACGAAACAATACCGACTTTTAATTCAGTCATTAGTTTGAAGATAAATATTTCAGTAAATGTTGACCAGAGAGAGCCAGCTGAGAGACACAAGGCTTTTTCATTCTGCTTTCAGACCCCTGTTTTTTTTTACCCGTTGAAATTGCAACCTGGGACAACAGTGGAATATGTCGGGCTGTGTTTTTGGACCAGTGACAGCATTTCTCAACAGGGACAGGAGCGTGACAAAATGAAAGAGGCAAAACAAACCTCTAAAAGTCCTTTAAAGTCACAGTGTAGTGCAGTCAGGACCCGAGGAAATCACGTTATAATGGACTGTGATAAGTTTATTGTCCACGTGGAGCAAAATAAACGTTCACAAAAGTAATTTTGACGAGGAAAACTTTATAAAGGAAAGAGCAGCACGTGCAACAGCCCAAACTTTGTTACTTAGCATGTTACTCGGCTCGCTACGCTGTCATTATGCACAGTATTGTCCCTGCTGTGTCTTATGCAGACTTTTATCACCTTCTTCTCCTGACCCACATGTAAACAGCAGGCTATAAAAGAATTGAGCTTTACTTCTGTCTAATTTACCGTAATATTTGGCCATAGCATTCACACATGTTTATTCAGACTAGAACGAGAAACACAGACGGACACCAAAAGACAAGCTTGAATTAAAAATGGCAATAGACAAGGTTGCAATCCCGAGTCGCTTTGACACACCAGTCTGTGTCTCTCAATATGAAAGAAAATGGTGTGGTTTTTGGTCGGGTGAAGTGGATGTAGGCTATCGGGAGGGCATACATATGTGACATGTAAGTCTGTGGTGATAGAAGGATGACTCTCAACTAACAAAGATATAACTCATCAAAATAATACACTTTTACACAAGGCCTCCTAAACAGATAAAAGTTCTCCCATGAAGTTGCACAACTATGAATCTTGTGCTTGCATGCGTGTCCTTAAGAAAGCCAATATGAAACACAATTATCACCAAATGTATAGGGGTTTCCGAGGCTGTCTGTGATTATCCAGCTTATCCTTTAACATTGATTTTTTTGCTGCGATGCAAGGCTGAATCTCTGCAGGAGTCACACAGGATAAGCGGATCTGCATGTTAACGTGAAACAAAAAGAAATTGCTTAACTCGGCTTAAAAAAAGCGCCATCTCTGCGGCGTGAGGGAAGAGACGGAGGCGAGGAGCGGGCGGACGCTGGGGAGGCTGGAAGAGGGCGCGCAGGTTAATGACTCCATTACTGAGCGCCTCAGTGTGGAGCTGTTTAAACAGGCCCCCGTCAGCAGGGATCAGGCCTTATTACTGCACCGCGGCACCCACACGACCCTTCTCCGCCAGGCACAGCACCGCCACCGCAGATCTAAGGCCAGCTTAACTTAGCAGACAGCCCCTGACTCGGCCACAAAAACTATTCTCAAACCCCAGATTTATACGTCTGTCTCATTAGTTCTGCCTAATATGTATAGTATATGTTTCTAGTCAATAATGAGATTTTGTTAAGTGCCTGTCAATTAGGTATATACAGAAGGAGTTTAGAAAAGAGGTGGTGGGAGTTCGCCTTGGTGCAAGTTTGTCATGAGGCTAATAGAGATTCAAGTTTATCGATAAGTATACAGCTTTTACCAAATAGTGTTTATCAAACTTCTTTTAAAAAACTCATATTATTAATTGTTGATACAAAGTAACCCTAACCCAAACCCTAGTGGATCTGGACTGGAACTGTTGTCTGCTAGAGTTTTGGGTTGTTGGTTCTATTTGTATGAACTGTGAAGCACTATGTTACATATTTGTATGAAAATCACTCATAAAAAGGTCTATAATGTACAATATATTGTTATGATTTTATGTCATATTGTCATTGACACAGTTACAAAAAACCTTGGATCCAAGCCTTTAGTGCCAGACATCTGTATTTTTCTTGCTTTAAGACTTACTGTAAATAGTTCATGCAATCCAATAAATGCATTGACATTTCCAATTGTCTGGGAGGACTTCATAAAGTTGGTGATTCCTCAAATCAGACAATCTAACAGTTCGAACCCAGAAAACACAAGAATGACAAACACACAGGAGCCATTGGTCCATAGGGGCCGGGATGACCACTGTCTATACATATACATGTTTATTAATGTCAATAAATAAATGCTCCGTCTAAGGACAGGACCCTCCTGTATTGGCAAGGAACAAAAAACAGTCCGAAAAAAGTGAGAAACCTCAGGGAGGCCCCACACTGAAAGAAGGATCCGCTCCCATGATCGTACAGACTGTAGATCCAGGACTCAGGCTGGACAGGGCTAGTACTGTGAAAAGCTTTCTCATTTAAGTCAGATTATATAACCATTTTTAGGTCATCGTGACTTCTTAAGGTCCATATACTGAATTATGCAAAAGCGTAACAGTCGTTGGCGTGTCTATACACTAAGTAGGCCTGTCCTCTTTCCTTACCTAACCTCTCCCCTGATGGAAACACCACATGTGTACATTTAATTTAGAAGATTGAGTTGCAATTATCTCCCAAAATGGCCGAGCATAGGTAGATTATCATCTCTCCCCCTCTCTCGTTACCTCGTCCTCGCCGCCCACAGCCCTGGTGCCTGGTCCCCGGTGCGAGGTGTCTGATCACACAGATAATCAGCAAAGACAGCTCTCCTCAATCAGCCCCATGTTTGTCCTCCCGGCGCTGCGTGATGGCTCGGTTTACCAGGTCTATAGGCCATGAAATACTCCAGTTAACGGCGGAGGTTGGTATCTGCCGGAGGGAGTAGGACCCCGCGGTGAGTGTCGCGTGTCGTGGGGGTATTTCACATCAGCGTGCGGATGTAAATCACTGAGGCGTCTGCGATGGAGCGTGTTCCACTGTCAATCTACGGAGATAAACTCAAATCATTACCGTCTCTCAGACTGGTGCAGTCCTCTGTCACTGTGTATCCACGGCCTATTACGTTGGTGTATTTTTTAGATAAAAGCTGCTGTGCCTAACTTTCAAAAGACTATTAACTACATGGACTCACAGAATTCTGAAACTGCCATAACTCCCAGAGCCATCATTTTGACTGTTTCCATTCAAGACTGAGATAAGTTTTAATTTTTGAAGTCTTAAGTCGCTGTAAATGTCAATGCAGTACAGTGTTCATGTTCTCTATCTTGTTTTGGCAAAAGCGCTGGTGTGTGCCGTCTGGTGCACACTGGGGAAGTCTTGCACAGTTTTTCCAATGTGGTTTTACTGCAAATCACAAATAAATTCTTATTTTTTATGATGATTTTTTTTATTCAAGTATGACAATGTATTTAACAATGTATTCATATTTTGCACTGATTAGCATGCATCACACTTGACTCTTTATCCCCTTTTTGGTCCTCATATCCCCATTCCCCTTGTGATGGGCAGAGAAACTCAAAATAATAAATGGATAACTAAATAAATAAATGATTATAATAACAAAATAGTAAATAAAAATAATAATAAAAAAATAATAATAATAATAATAAAAATAAAATAAAAATTGCAAATAAATTTTTATATCTTGTTCTGTTTTGTGTATGAATTGTGCTATACAAATAAACCTGCCTTGCCATGGTTTTACACTGATAAAGACCAGAGCAGAGAGGACGAGCCGAACCAAGCAAATCGAGCGTAAATTCATTGGAGGAATGCTAGATTTTTTGAAAAAGGAGTAAATAAAATCATTGGAGGCAGAAAACAGCTCTGTCCATGACGTCGCAGTCGGAGGAAATGTTGAGGCGTTTGAACAGAAGGATAGTGGGTCATGCTTTGTGTGATAAAAGTTCCCAATATTAGCGTGGATTCAAGTTTAAAAAGTATTTTTCCTTATAACATAATTAATCACGTAGTTTGAATGAGAATCTGAATGTAATTTTATTCTGAAAATTCATGTGAGGGCAAACAAAAAGTTGCATGGTGCTCCTTAAAGACATTTTTAAAGTAAAGTATAGTAAACATATATAAATGTTAATATTATGCATTTGTTTCAAAAAGCAATTTCTGCAACCCTCAAACAGGCTTTACATGGCAATTACCCGATACACTGTGGCCATGAACTACTATTGTAGCCATCCATCCGTACACTCTGCTCAATCATCATTTCACTGCATGTAACGTCTGGGTCTGGTCCCTGTGTTTGCGATTACATCGGTTGGATTCCATCCGACCAATCAGCGAGCGCGGGAGGCGGGTGTTGTAGTTAGATGTGGGTGATGTTAAGAGTTTGCGTCAAACGGACAGGTTGTAGTTTGGCAGTGGCGAAGAATCCGATTGTAAAGTATTCCAGTCTGGTTCTATCAAGAAATTGAAACCGGAGCAAGAGGAATGTTTAGCAAATGTAATCGCTGGCAAAGATTGTAGCACTACTCCCCACGGGCTCCGTTAGCGGCAAAGGAGATGGCTAAAGCTAGACTAAACCCTAACGACTCACTCGGGCCATTAAATACGTGACGATAAACTCAGATCCAATCGTTTCAATCTTCAAAAGGAGTTAACCCCTCCCACCTGTAAACGGAGCTCAATGGAGCGCCTCCAGACCTTAGTACGAAATGTAATTTGTACTATGGTGTGGTACGACCAGGCTAGCACTGGGGCATCCAGTATGTGCCATCGGCCCCTCCGACCACCACCAACTATTCACGCACACTCCAGATTCATTCTGATGTGGGTTAAGTGTCTAGCCTCAACACAACATTCTTTCTCTTATTTGAAAACATTTTATCTTTTGCACAATTGAACGAAAGATCCCTGTGACTCCTTGAGAACTGATTGCCCAAGTGAGGGCGGTCCTCTCTATTCTCTTTTTCACTTTTTTCTCCGACAAAGCTTGACGTAAAGCTGTGACAGGGGCCCAAAATGTGTGCATGTGAAAACTGCAGCCAAACAGAATGTCCCTTTTGTGGTATGTATTAAAGTTAGGTACCCCAGCTTTAATAACACAAATCTAAGAGCAGTGGGAATGTAATTACAGTAATTTATGATCCTTTCAGAGTGTGCAGAAGTATGGTCTGCTCAGGCCGGAGGTACAGGTCACTCCCTGCCCCCCCCCCCGGACCCCCATTATCCTCCACTTTTACATATCTGCCATAACTGTGAACTGGTCGTGCATTGTTGCAGTGAACACACTCACTTACATCCTGTTTCTGTTCTGCCTCTGTGCTGTTTACATCCTGTACCTGTGATACTACCTCTCATAGCCCTGTGCTTTTTACATCCTGTACCTGTGATACTACCTCTCATAGCCCTGTGCTGTTGACATCCTGTACCTGTGATACTACCTCTCAAAGCTCTGTGCTGTCTACATCCTGCTAACTTCTGCACTTATACACTTATCACAGAGATGCTCTAAATGTAATTTGGTTGATTTTTTGACAATTACAAAAAAATCTTGAATCTTTTGTGCTTTACTTACCGAGCTCGTCCACTTCAGAGACACCAAATTAAACTACGAGTACCATAAGATCCAGACCAATCAGCTCATTCGTCAACTTTTATGTATCAAAAGCACAATAGTTTACTTAAAATCCATTGCCAATACATTTGTGTGTGTACTGTATGTATGTGTGTGTGTGTATGTGTGTATGTGTGTAACCTGCCCGGGACAAAACCGAAAAGTCTTGCATCGATATTCTTTGCGGGCGGATGCCGGTCTCACTGTCGGATTTCCGCGCAAACTTGTCAATGGATCCAATTGCTGCGCGTAGAAAGTGATGGCGCCCCAATTAGAGGAGTCAGCTGTGTACAGGGGAACTAATCCTGCACGCCACCCCACGCGTCCGCTGGCGGCCTGGCTGCTTGGCCCGCGCCGCCGCTCACTCCTGAGTTTTCCTCTTTTTTTGCCTTTAGCTCAATCACCTGGAACATAAAAATAGACCTGGAATAGACGCTTCATCTCCTGCTACGGGACACACAAAGTTCTCAAGGGTGGGGAAAGGGGGAGAGCAAAACACAGTCGATAAAAATCCTATTACGCATGAGTCGAAACGCGCTTTACGCCACGGCCTTTAGCTTCGGCTTCGGGAGAAAGAGGTTGCTATTATATAATTGAGAATACGGAAATCAATAGCGGCAGCTGGTTGTGGCATTCATAACTGCGCCGCGCCCCGTTCGATCCGCCGGATAACCCAAACCGCGCTTCTCTGGTCTAATCACATACAAAACGGATCGATGGGACGACTTAGCCAGTGGCCTTGTCGGATATGTTAGCGAGAAAGAAAACTAGCACCTGAGATCCTTGACAATTTGCGGGAAAAAAAGCGAAGGATTATTTTAAACATAGCCCGAGGTGAGGGCAAGATTCCGCGCTCCGGTAGCTTCGGTAAAGTGGAGGTGGGCGGCCGGGACAAGACGATATTTATCCTATTGATTTTTCTAAAGT